TTCAATCTCTGCAGCTTCGGAGGATCTTACCCCAGTAATCCTCACCCTTCATTCCATTTTATTTGCTTCAACCTTGTCTTCTGCTTCCTTCAGAATCCCCTCCCATCCCCTCCTCCCTCATCGGGCATTCTCAATCCACCATTGTTTTCACTGCTCCTTCTCTCTCTCTCTCTCTCTCTCTCTCTCTCTCTCCAGATCTTTCTCCTCATAGCGCTTCAGATCATCAATTCAAGGCCTCCCAGAAGACGTAGGTTCTATTGCCTATCCCTCTCCGACGAACTTCTCAAGGACCCAGATTCCGACCCCCTGTCCGTGACACAATGCCTTCAGCTTGGTTTCTCTCACATCATGTCCACTGCGGAACTTTGTTCTTCAAACACACAATGTTTCCCCTGAAGCTGGCTACGTTGTGTTAGGTTTAACTAGAGCCGGCAATTACGGGCACGACCTTTTAGGCTCGAAAAAATTGAGGACCAGTCTTCTATTTTAACTTTAAAAAAATAAATCGGGCTTAAAAAAGTTGGCCCTTTTAAACTCAAAAATAAAAGGGCCGACCCTTGTAGGCCCTTTTATTATTTTTTTTTTTAAATTATAATATAAAAAAATAAAAAATTAAATACATAACTCAAAGAAATGAATATATTAAATACATTCATCCATTCCTCATTTATTTATTAAAATTTAGTTGATAATATTAACTAAGTTTAATTTTTATTAGTATTCACTTTGATGTTATTATTTAATATTAGACCTAAATGTTTTAGTTTTCTTTATTGTTGTGGTGTAAATTGATTTAAATTTATTTTCTTAAACGTAATTTTATAAATAATAACTTTTTTTATAATTATAAATATATTTTTTAATTAAAAAAATAATTTTAAAAAAATAGGGCCGAGGCCTTGAGGGTCGACCCTTTAACCCTAAGGGCTAAGGTCGGGCCTTATAAAATGAAACCCTAACATACAATCGGGCTTATTAGGGCTAGCCCGTTTAGGCCCTAGCCTTTCAAGGGCCGGCCCTAATTGACAGCTCTAAATTTAACCAATCACTAATTTCAAACCTACGTCTTCATCTATCTTATTTCATTGGCTACCTCATCCATTCACAAGAAAGGTCTAGTTTCACTAAATAAAATTAATATCACCTTAAATATAATCTAATTATCCTTAATAAAACTATAAAAATAAAAGAAGAAGAAAATTAAAATTAAATCAAGAAACAATATTATTTATTTACATATCAAACTTAAAATGAGAACTTAAAACTTACATATCCTTTAAAAGGATTAAAATTAACATAGTTTAAGGGTAAAAATACATATTACATTGTTGGTGGCTTTTACAAGAGTAATTTGTTAATTTTTGAAAATTATTTTTTGATTGGGTTTGTATCTTTTAATTTAAGGTAAAGGTGTAAATTTGAACCGCAACTACTTTTCCATGAACATTGGGTAACCTATAGTATTAGGTGATGTAAAGTAAATTCTCACCTTTAAAAAATGAAGCATCTAGTAGTTTTCATTAATTTTTGTTTAATGGACATTAACTTTTTATGTGGGGCACACAAATTTTTTGTTGAAATAACATGTGACACTCTACATTAGCAAACAAATGTACAAATCTAGTCATAAATTATTTTTTGAAGAGCATTAGGTAATCTCTATAAAAACAAACTATCTAATACCTTCTTATCAATTTTGAACATACGCAGTTTATTTTTATACTCATGAGACTCACAACATGTCAATCTCTCTAATATTTTTCTCTTCATTCTTAGTTTCAACTTTAGAAAAAGAAATTCAAAAAGTTTCTTATCTAAAAACATTTATGAGAACAATGCCAATGAAGTAGAGGAGGAAGACAAGATTTTATTTAAATCTCTGTGGCAATTCAGAGAAGCAATAGTTTGAATTATGATGCTACTATGTGTGGGAGAAGCTTGATTCAATCACTTTATTTTCTATAAAAATAATTCGTGGCTAAATTAAGCTTAACTCAAGCTTCTCCCACACATAGTAATATTGCAATTCAAACTATTATCTTGCTTGGATTGCTATAGAGATTTAAGTGAAATCTTATCTTTTTCTACTTCATTGACATCATCCTCATGAATGTCATAAGATAGGAACTCTTAAAATTTCTTTTTTTTTGAGTTGAGATTGAGAATGAATGCAAAAAAATTAGAGAAATTGATATGTTGTAGGTCCCATAAGTTTAAAAATAAACAACGTTTGGTTAAAATTGATGGAAATGTGCTAGATGGTCTTTTTTTATAGTAGAATCTATTAAGTGCTCTTCAAAAAATAGTTCATAAATAAATTTATACCTTTATTTGTTGAGGTAAAGTGTCACGTGTCATTTCAATAAAAAAAAATGGTGGCCTCCATATGAAAAATTAACGTCCGTTAAATGAAAATCAATAGAAGTTGTTGGATGCATCATTTTTAAAAGTTGAGCATTGATTTTGCACTATTTTATTCTATTGACTGCCTAGTGCTCATGAAAAAATAATTTAGAACTAAATTTGCACATTTACCTTTTAATTTATAAAAGTGACTTCTTTCATTATTTGACAAAAGATTTTGGAAGAAAAATTTTAAATTGAAGTTCTTCCATAAATTATAAAAGTCTCATATGGAAATTAATTATTACATGCTTGTCAAAATTTTAAAATCTCACACAGCATAAAAATCATTTAACAAAATGTTTATTTATTTTTTTATAAGAGAAGATTTTTTAATTTTTTTTTCTCAAAAAATGAGTTTAACATCATCATATACAAATTAAGCATTTTGATTGGTATGCTTGTGGTAGCTTATTGCTACACATAGCATACCAATTAACTATATATCTGTAGAGACTAAAAATATCACACAATATGAGTTAACATGAAAAATTAAAAGAAAAGCAAGGCAAAATAAATAAATTAAATAACTAAATAAAATGTGAGTTAAGGAAAAGATCAAATCCATCAAGCCATTTAATCTCACTAAATTAAACAAGATGAATGAAGCAATGAGAAAAAGGAGCCAAACCAGATTCGTTGTGACATGATGCATCAATCATCCATTAGTTAATATCCCTCAAAATGAAATTTGTTGCAACATAGTTACACATACCTATTAACACTTGTTACCTTTTCACAATACACACTTGAAAGAGAAGGTGAGAAAATTGAAAATAAAGGAGAGGTGTGATCGTTGATATAAGGGGCGAGGTTGAATCATTGAAAACAATCACACGTGAACAAGTAAATTGTGATCATCAGGACAAAGCAAACATGTGTAGAATAGGATAGTGTAAAATGAGATAAAAACTTGGCCACAAAATGTCAATTCCCTTTCCTGAGCGTGGGCGAGACCATAGTCAAATAACAAGGAATGCTCAACCAACAATCTATAGAGATGAAAAAACTAATAATGAAAGGAAGAGAAGATGTGTCTTGAGATTAGATATGTACATGCCTCCTTCTCATTAAGATGTTCATGGGCATAAGAAATACTCTAGACACATAATGTGCAAAACAAAACGCATAACAAATTCCGTTCAATATTTCTTAATTGTTTCTTCTAGTTCTCTCACATCTCCCTCTTACAACTTCTCTAGGCTTTCTTTTCCATTTTCATGTCTCAAGCTCCCTCAACTTTCACCTCTCCCTCCCACCTCCCTTTTTTTTTTTTCTGACTCACCATCTTACTCTCCCTTTCATAGATAAAAATTAAGGTTTTCATCACTAATGATTAAATCCCATCAAATAAAAAAATATTAATTAATTTTATTTAACTTTTACCATTTTAAATAAGGATACAAATTTGGGAATTTGAATTTTTACCTAACCTTCTCCAATTGAAGACTCGGATCAAGGTCTAATTGTAGATATTTAAATTTTCATTTGACCTTCCCTAATTAAAGAATAAAATGAAAGCTCAATTATAAGGATTTGGAAGTCAAACAAAAAGAGAAAATATTTTTTAAAATTTTAATTTATAGAGATATTATTTTATTTTTTTATTAAAACGTATTTTCCCCTTTTATTAATGTTTTTTTATTCATTTTATTTCTCAAAATTATATCAAGTAACCTCACAGTATAGGGTGTTCAGTATTTTTTTTAAGAGGGGTATGCCAGTTCTGCGTAGAAAATGGTGAACAATCTGACTAATGAGTTCGCATCTGTGATCTGCTAATCAAGGGTCGGTGTGTTGATGAGAGAAACTGGTCGAAACTCGAAGACTAGCTGGGGAAATGTATCGTGGAGTGTTCGAACTCCGGAGATCTGCTTACAACGCCATTCTTGATTTTGCATGCAAGCTTTGTAGAAGAAAAGGATCCATTTCGCCTTGATTCAGAGGCCGAGAAGGTACTGGTGGATGTGGATTATAAAAGGGTTCCACTAAATGTGGAAACTTCTAATGTGTTGATAACTAATTTGTGCAAGATTAGGAGAACTGAAGATACAATGAAGTTGTTTTACAGAACCAGAGAATGGGGTTGCTATCCCAATGCGACCACGTTCTTATTCTAATTAGAGTTTGTATCAGGCTGCAAGATTAGAAGAGGGGGATGAAATGATTTAACAGGATGAAATCTGCCGGGTTTGGTGAAGGCCTTGATGAGAAGGCCTGCTACCAGTTCCTGAAGACTTTGTGTGGCATATAGAGAATAGACGGTGCATTGTGATTGGGCGTTTTTGCGAAGATGAAAGCAAACGAATGCGAGCCTGGGATCAAAACTTATTTGTTGATGGTGAAATTATGTGCTCATAATCATCCGACTAAATTTCGTGAAGAAACCGAAAAGATTGATGGTCTCACAAGGGAACATGTGGGTTTAGAACCTATTGACCGCTGGAGAAGAAGGAAGAACTGAGCCAAGAGATGACCGAATTCTTGGGTTTGCAAAAATCTATATTTTAAAAGGATTTAGTAATGCCTAGATTTACTAGCCCTTGCGTTGCGTATAAAATATTAAGCTTTAAAGAAGTATAATCTAATACTATAGATACAGATAAAAAATAATAATAATAAGAATGATACAGAATCTCGCGATGATTTTACATCCTGAATTGGGGTTTCAAACTGAATTCTAGGCTCCAGTGTATGCCAGTTGCCAGCCATAACTTATTGGCATTCCCAGTATGGTGCAAAAGGTTTTTTTTAATGATTCATTACATAGTCATGGCTATCTTAATCATTAACTGACTAAAATAACTGATTCATTAAATAGTCGCCTAACTTGCTTGGATCAATAAGCACTATACTATTAACTAATTAAGGGGTAAAGACATGAATTGACTGATTCAGCAAGCGATGAGAAGAAATTCCTTTGTTTTACATGAAATGTTCCGTCAAAAACCTTAACCAAGCCATTCCCGAGCGCATTATCACGCAATTTCTTTCCAGTACCGAATTGACCTATCGGTTCCGCAGGAAACAAAAGCAGGCTCCACTGGTGAGTGTTCAAGCCAGCGGGGCACACCCGCATGATTTGAAGGCCACTTTGCCACTTGTTCTGTTGTCATGGCATCCCACGTAACAATCTGCAAACCACACCAGAAGAATCCTCAAACTAAATTCATATAAAGCCTTGAAGAAATCACTGCAGTCAAAGACACAGCCCAACAAACCTCGTTGCTCAATTCATCCATTGAGAGAACAAATTCTTCCGTGTCATTAAAAATGGCCTACGAAGAAGCACGCAAAACAATACTTTCAGACTCTAGATCAGGATCTGTTGAAGCTCTCACAAAAAGCTTTTAATATCCAATAATAGCGGGAGACACTAATTCATTCATTGTGACAAAAAGAAACTACAGGGGTAATTTTTAAATTGAAAACCCACCTAAACCTAAAAAAATAAGGAGGAAAATAAAACATAAAAGAATGTAAAAGAATAGTGAAAAATTCAAGCATAGTGAGCTGCTGGAATCACAAGAGTAATAGTATCAATTGGATTGAATGGGGATGATTTCAAAAGAGCATAGAAGCACATATATCCATACCTGACATCTTAACTGAGTATGTGTGGCTCCAAGATATTGTTTAACTAACCTTCCAGAGCTAACTTCCCAAAGTTTTATAGTAGAATCCTTCCCGGAAGAAAGCACAAATCTAGAAAATTCAGCTAGTTATGTTGCTACGCCAACTTTAACTCGATTAGATAGATGAAATACCTTGGACATATTTTCCCCCAAGACACTTTTAAGGCTAGAAATACCTTTGATCTCTAGTAAAATTTGCACTTGTGACTTCTGTTGTTCCATGTGCTCCAATTATTGAGCGCACGCAATTAGCAGTAACACCATCCCACAATCGAATGACACCATCTTTAGATGCTGTAACATACATGCCTCCCGTACAAGAATATCTGATCTGCATAATCAAGAATGAAATCATAATAGAATCATCATATATGATATAAAATGCCAAAACAAAAAAAGGTACATGAAAGCAGATATTTGGTAGTTTGTGGACAAGGAAGAGAGTGTTAAACATGCCTGGTTTATGGCTCCATTGATGCCAATATCTGGAATATTTGCAGGTAAAAAACATTTAAAGGTATTGATATCATACAAATGTGGAATTGGATGATCAGTTCCTGTCAAAAAAGGATATTTGTCATCGTTGATCTCACTGATGAATGGCAACCGGTAACCAACTTAAGCGTGAAATTGGGGAAAAGAAGGTTCCTAAATATAGGAAATACAGAAACAACATTCGTACCTATATGTATATGCTGAATTTAAAATGATACGGTAAGCAAGCAAGTCACCATGTGGGTCTCTCCACATTTCACATTTCTATATTTTTTGTGTTGTTATTTACAATGCACATCTTATTCCTGATTCACTAAAAAACAGTTGCTCTTGAAATTAAGAGACTGTTTCCGGAATATATTTACTATATTTGAAATCTCTTTTCAAATTGAGTTCCCTTTAATGGAAAATATTCAAACTGCACATAGTTATATTATCTGAGCTAATAAACCAGAGAGAAGTTGTAGAACGATAAATACATAAACAATATACCTTTCTATTGAGACCATCATACCAACCAAAAGTAGCGCAAGTTTAAAATTATTTAGTCAGAAACATATGCCAACATGACATGTAATAACTAATATAGATGCCATAAAGAACTAGAAACAAACCTGCAGCCTACAGCCACGGAGATCAAATAGATTTTAGATAACAAATGGATACAGTTAGCATACATCATAAAGCCACAGCAGTAAATGTGAAACATGTGTTTACCTGCCAAAAGAAAATCCCCTGAGGGATGAAAAGACACAGAACGCACATTGTGTGTGTCCTGTGAGAAAAAAAAATAAAAAAAAATATTATGCATCATTCTCACATCATGCTCACTTGCTGCTAACACTCACAAAATGAAACAACCTGGATAACCCTGTATGCTCTCTTTGCATTAGTTTTTGAGATATCAAAAAACCTAAAAGGTTTCAAAACTAGCAAGTCAGGTTAGAAGGTCATTTTTAAAATAGCAAGGATGGAGAAACAAGGAAAATGTACAATTGAGGTACATATGATAGCAAAAACATCATAAATTAATCCTGGAAGAGGCCATACTTTATTGTCTGGTCTTTAGCCCCAGAAATAAGGATGGAACCTTGCGGATGAAAATCCAGATCATTTATTGGCTGCAAGTGCACAAGAGATATTAAAGATACAAGGAAAGACTCAGAGGACTATTTCATGTACTTTATGGTTAATATTATGAACAATGAGAGAACAAAAAAGAAGCAATTTTCCAAAACTGATCGCTACCAATAGAAAGCTTGATATATGAAAATGATGTTTAGGAATCAGTAAATTCAGTATGACAATAATTTTTTTCCAAGGATTCCCACATATCTAGTGAATTGCAATTTAATTTATCCAAGAACAGAACATGTACAAAATTTGTTTCCAATTCAAAGGCTACATTCCCAGAAGTTTTCTGTTTTTTCTTCAAAAGCATGTGGGCTCTCCATCAAAGGTCTATATAATTTCTTCAAGCAGTATCCAAAAAGTAACTTTATTTTGTTTCACTAAATCTGAATATGGACTATATAAAAAATTATTAGGCCCTTTAGGTGTAAAAATTATTGAATTTTCCATGCCAGAGTTTCAGATTGCACCACTGTCACAAATCCAAGCTAACATGAATCAGTGCATTGGCTAACTTTTTAATATAAATCCTTTAAAAATTTATGATTTTGAGATTGAAGAAACACTCCCACACAAGATTTTCATCAGATTTGGTGTAGAAGGTTAAAATTTCAGGCAGATATACTTGTGTATGATCATAAAATGTTCGTATGACAGGTCGAACAGGTCCATCTTTGGCATCCGGGAGTAGCATTTGCTTAATCTTTGCAACCTGCAATAGAAAATGCATGCACATTAGTTATAGTGATATCAAAGAAAGAGTTATACATATACAAAAGGAATCAGCACCTCAAATAGCTTTATTGATGTATCTGCACTTCCTGTGGCAACAAACCTCCCATCAGGACTAAACCTAGCACATCTAGCAATATTCTAGAAATTCAGCAGATCAGTCCAAAACACACAGCCACAGAAGTAAATGCTCAATCATGCCTTGACATGCTGATGCTGAAGTCATGTGGATTATTACTTATGTGCCATACATTCCATACCTTATGTTCTGAAAGGTGTCGTGTCTCATGCTTAGGAAAGCTCTTCGATGAGCCTTTCCAGTCTTGCACACTGTTATAACAAAACTCTTTCATCAACAATCTGTTTTCATCTTCTTTCAAAGACTTTATCACTGACTGAGGAACTAAAATCTACCATACAGACAACACTAGCTGATACATTAAAATGCTGGAGCTTCAAAGGTATTGCATGGCATGGAATGAGACTGAAGTATTATTCAAAAAATTCTTTATCATTCTGAGTTGATTTAATTTGTGGTCAGAATAATCACCCAGAAAAAAAAAATATTATTATTAACATAACTAAGGCAAAAGAAACCAACAACTAATACTGTAAAACATATCACCAGGCAAATTTCAAAATTATGACCCGCTTTTTCATTTTCTAGAAGGAAAAAAAATTCAATTTTATTCAGAATAAGCAGACCCAACAGTTGTTACTGAGTGCATGGTGCATTTCTTAAACTAGAATCAGAGACTTGAATTGCATTGGATGGACATGCCACACAAGATGAAACAAGGTCGATCAATAAAATTGCCTGAAATCAACAGCAGCTGCGCGAGCGAGGGGAACAGAAACTGCCGCACCCAAATCATAAAATGAATCTGACGTAGTCTCTCTTAACGTCTCGAATTTTTCCGCTGCAAGACCCTGCTATTTCTTTAGGACCAGCAGTTCTATTTCGCTAATATCAAAGAGTTAGAAAGAGATGAGTGCAGGAGAAAGCAAGAACCTTAGCAACCAACTCAAGAAGTTTGTTCGGCAGGGCTTCCACATTGAGCGGTGTCATAGTAGCCGAAGCAACAGCACTTGCAGCCTACAGAAACAGCATCCCCAACTTCAAATTCGAACATTTGATTAGAGCTACTTACTTGCCTACGTCTAAAAGTAAGGCTAAACTTCAAAAACAGAAGCACCTCTAGTTTCTTGATGCTTGATTAACGCAGCATCCAGTATCCAGTAACTATTAAATTAAGCTTCAAAAACACCTAAAACTCATGAAGAACGAATTGCTTGCCTGAGTCAGATTGTTGTCTCGAAGATGCGCTACAATTAGCGAATTGACCTGTCTGAAGAGCTTGCCCTCTTGCAGAGTTTGATCCAAGCTGGAGCTATCCATCTTCCTGCGCGAAAAAACCCTAATTTTCCTCTTCCTAAAACCCTATAGTCGAGATCTGCTTTGATTAATTTCTTATTTCCCAGTCATCACCATGACTATGAGGTGTTTAGGGAGAAAAACTCATTACCCAAAATCACTGCTTTGCGGGGCACAAAAAAAAAAAAAAATCGATAATTAATTTTTTTGGAGTGAGATTTTCAGGATTGGAACCAACTGTAGATGAAATTTCCTTTTACAGGTTGTGATGTTTGGGCGAAGATTGTTGCAGCAGGCCACTTCCCACGCATTTCTTATTCTCGTAAACATAAGGTCATTCAGGATTGCTCTCCCTTTTGTTAATTCAGATTATCATTAGTTTTAGCAACTTCGATTTGCTATTTTTTCAAAGCACTTTCCAACTCTTTGGCCAAGCACTTTCCAACTCTTTATTTCAACTTATTCATTGTTATACTCTACATTTCTTGCTTGGTTATTTTCCTTTTAATAAAGCATACGAAAGCCCTTTTTTTTTTTAAAGAATACAAAAGGCATTTTTAATTCCAATTTCAGTTTTTGTATTGGTTTTATTTAAGATCCAGTTTGTTTTAGACTTTTGAAAAAATTACAAATAGATCTCAAAGAGAGTAATTAATTCAAATAAGTCTTAAAGTATTAAAATTTATAAATTTACAAGTTTAACTTTTAATTTTATAATTTTATTATCATGAATTCACAACTTATATTTTAAATTTTAATAAAAAATAAATTTAATTATTCTTCAATTATATTAAAGTTTAAAAAATAAATTATAATTATAAAATTATAAAATTAAAAGTTAAATTTTTAAATTTTTAAAATTTAATATTTTAAAATTTAATTTAAATTAATTAATTTCTTTAAAATTATCAGTCATTCTCCTTAGACTTCTCCTACAAATAATTTCAAAAGAGAAAGGGTTTTTTTTTTTTTTGGTGGACGAAGAAAGGGTTCTTGATTTAGGATGTACTACCATCCTTTTCTCAATAAATTGTTCTTACTGTCAAAAATATATCCTTAAAACCCCCCCCCAAAAAAAAAATCATTATCCGACTAACCAAATGTCCTAATTCTTGGATAACAATAGATTGCTAATGTATACTCCTTTTTTTAAAAAATAAAAGATATTTTTAATTGAATATCATTTTTAATAAAATAATTATTTATTTTTAAATTAATTTTATTTTTTTATATTTACCCATATTAAATACCTTATAATACATATAAAATAATTATCAATAGAGATATTTTTTAAAAAAAGTAATAATTATACTTCAAAAGACTAAAAAATATCTTACATTTTTTTAAATATTCAACTTCTTAAAAAATACTTTATATTTTTTTTAATAGAGAGAATAATAGGTTATTATGGATTGAAATCAATTCTTTTAACTTTATTTTTTTTATTATTCATAGATATCTTCATTTTCAAAACAATGACTAGCAATATAAAATATGAAATTATAATAAGTTATATTATTTATAAGTTTGCAACAATGAAATTTATTTTTTAAATTATTTATAATTTATAACGCAGGATCACTGTTTTGAAAACCAGACCGGACCGGCAGATCGGACCGTCGACCGGTCTGGTTTCCAGTCTGGTTCAAAGGAAAAAACTGTTTTAAGAGTTGAGCCGGTTTGAGCCGTTTCGAACCGACGGTCGGATCGGGAACCGGATCCGGTTTTCAAAAACCGGACTGTTCAAAAAAATTTTTTTTTATTTTTTATCAAATTTTAAAAAAAATGACTATTTTTTTTAATCATTTGATATTATATTGTATCATATGGCTTGTTAAGTCATGATAAACTTAAAATATTTAATTTTTTTAAAGTTAAATAGTAATTTCATATGTATTTCTTATATTTAAATTATTATATACATATATAATTTTTTTTAATTTAATTGTTACGTCACCGGTTGGACCATTGGTCCAACCGGTTGAACCATGCGAACCATGAACCGCTGACTTTTTCGGTTCAATGTCTGGTCTGATTCTGAAAACATTGCGCAGGATACTTGTATGTAGTTATCATAATTCTTAAATACTCACTTCAATTCTTTTTATAAGATACTTGGAGGAGTTTTTTTTGTGTTTTTTTTTTTAACAAAGCATTACATAGATTAGTTATTAATGCAGTTTTTCATTTTTACCTTATTCAATGCTGATCTAGGAAAGTAAAACACTTTTTAAGAATGCATTTAACATGGATAACATGGAATTTTAAAAAAATAAAATTAATAAATTTTAAAATTTACTTTAGTTCTAATAAAATATGATAAAAATTATTTATAAATGAGATCAAAGAAATAAATGTTACAAGAATAACTAGTGATTAAATTTTACTAACAATTTACATTGAAGAAATAACATTTAAGGGTATAAAAAAGTAATGAGAGAAATTACCATGCGAATTTTAAAGGGGGTTATAGTCATATCAATTTTATGTTTGACTTTTGAAAAAGCAGGTACAGACGTACAGTAGACGATGAATGCTTCCAGCTGACATCACCTCTGAGCTTGCTGTTTTCTGAACCGTACAATGCTATGGATTCAATCATGACTAAGTTTTAAGGTTCTCTAATGAAGCACGAGGATTTGAAAAAAAAAAAAATGTGACCTCCTCTTATTATAATATTAATTAATAGAAAAAATGATAATAATTTTTTTAAATTATATAAATGATAATTTAATTTTTTAAAATGTTATAATTTTACTGAAATTTTTAAGAACTTTTATATCAATAAATTTTAAAATAAAAATATTATTTTATCATTATTTAAAATAACAAGTCTCGATCACAACTTTTTATTTAAAGAATAATAATTTTTGTTATGTGAATATTAAGAGTTGAATAAGAAATTATAACTTATCAAGTTTAATTTTTATTATTGAAAAACATGCATTGGTCACAACTTTTACTTAAAGAATAATACTTTGTTTTGTAAATTACAAAAGCTGGACAAAAAAATACAACTTGTTAAGTGTAATTTATGTTATTGAAAAATAAATTTTTAAAATAAAAAATTTTAATCATAACTTTTATTTAAAAAATAACAACTTTTATTCAAAGAATCATAAGAATTGAATGAGAAATTATAACTTGTAAATAAAGATGGGTTATGAGGAAAAAAAATGCCCCAGGAGTTTTTTAAAAGGAATATTGGACATCTTTACCTTTTAGTTAGAGTAATTCTGTTTCAAAACTTTAAAAAACTAAGCAATTTTTGCCCCACCATGATCTCAAGCTCATGTTGATCGTTAAATAAGTTTGTTTGACCATTATTAGAAAATATAAATTAAAGAAAAAATTTAGTAAGAGATTATCCATTCCTCTTTCAAATGCCATGTTAGCAAAGAATATTAATTTCATAGCTTGATTTAAAATTAATGATAAAAAATAACGAGATATTATTAATTTTTCTCTAAAATAAAAAAATTAGTAAGGGATTATAATTCCTCTCTAACTATAATTCATCCTTAAAATAAAATAATTAATGAAAAAAATAGCAATTGACTAATAATTTCTCTCTAAAGTAAATAATTAGCAAAAAAATAGCAAAGGGATATTAATTACTCTCTAAAATAAGATAATTAGTTAAAAACATAACAAAAAATTATAATTTCTCTTTAAAATAAGATAATTAACAAAGTAATTTTATGACTATTTGAATTAAGATAATTAGTGAGATATTTTAATTTTAATTTTTATTTCTCTTTATTAAAAAATTATATTTTCTTTAACGTTTCTAATATTTTCTTTACATAAAATTATTATTTTTCTCCTCATTTTTTTAGGGTGAAATATGTTTTACGGCAACATGCATTCATTCCCTTTTTTTTTTGAAGTATCAGAATATTCATTCCCTCCTATCATCCAATGTCTAACACGAGGGGGAAAAAAAATTCCCTCCCAAACGCTTTGTAACCTAACTTACTCTCACTTTCAGTCAGCCACTATCCGGTTCTCTCTCATTCACACCTTCTCGGTTACGTGTTAGCATTTCACGCCATGCCCCTCCTCCTCCTGCAACGTCATTGTGCTCCTCAATTCCTCCTCCTGCGACGCCACCATTGTCTAGCAACGGCGTTCTCTAGATAAAAGGTACTGGCTCACCTTAATCGTTGTCTTCTCCTGGAAACTCATCTATTTGGTGCTAAAATGGTTTGTCAACTCTTGCAGTATTATGTAGTGAGGAAGAAACTCATCATAAGTTCTTGTGGAAATTCCCCCTTTTCCACTTCTGCTCGCATTAGGTCTTTCCTTCTATTATTATTTGTTTAGATCTTCTCTTCATGTTGGTGTTTATTGAGTTTTAGGGATCCGATTTTCTATTTAATCCAATTTTCATATTCTGGGTTTGTTAAAGTACCTTACTTTCGCAAGTCTAAATACTATATTGAATTATTGATATTTTTTTTCTTGGGCGTGGAAGTTTCTAGTTCATTCGGGGCTATATAAAAGCAAAGAGGTGGCTGGCTGCCAAGAAAAAAGAGGTCCTACATCAACTTGGATAGGTGATTGTGCATCTCTTATTATTTATGGGTTCTCATTTATGCATGTAGTACTTCATTCCAAAAATATTGATAGGAGAATTCAATATCCTGTCTTGTGCGGTATGTGACTTGGGAATTTTTAATTATGTTTGCACTAAACTTTGTCAGGAGTAAGGATTTATAGGCTCTAACTCTATGTAATTAAAGAACTCATTTCTAGCACACTTGCATAATTATTAAACTAGTTCTTTAGCTTCTATATCATGCATCACGAGAGATTCAGGAGGGTTTTTTCATCAAGAGGATTTTTTCTTTGTATTGCACAACATTTTGGCTAACATGGATGAAGTCTCTGAACTGCAACTAGTTCCAGATGCTCATGTATAACAACAACAACAACAACAAACCTTTATCCCACTAGGTGGGGTCGGCTACATAGATTGCAAGACGCCATTGTGCTCTATCACAGATGCTCATGTACCAGTTGTGAAATTCAAATTTGATGCAATATCAAATGATCTACTGCATGCCAGTGTATCTTGCTTGGTGGTACCAGAAGTAAGTGTTGATTTCTTTTAAAGTTAGAGAAAGAAGACGATTTCAGATATTAAGAAGGAGGTTTCTGAGAGTTCAAGTAATGGGCATACCATTAAGGACTTTGATTTCAGGAATTGACCTGTTAAAGGTAATGAGTTGAATGGTAAATTTGTAACTTCTATATGCTCTGTTTACTAGATGAGACAAGTCATTAATGAATGAAGTTTTGGTTTCGTAACGTCTAATTTTCTTTTTTTTTTAAGATTATTCATTGTTTGTTTTAATTTGGATTGATAATATATTCATAGCTGATGGCTTTGCTTGTTTTAAAGATCT